TAACTATTTGAACAAGTTTTTGAAATAAGATATCTTTATACGTATATTTTTAGAAAGCAGATACTGCGAAGCAGTGTGAACTAAAAACTTTTTAACTTACATTATAGTTACACCAATTATATGTTATACGTAATTCTAAAGCTCTTCTGTTGAAACCAACGGAGGAAATTAATAATAATAATAATTACAATGTTTTATTGAAGGCCTTGTAACACCTATAAACCAAAATATTATAATTACATCCCCTACAAAATAATTTTATGTATTTAGGTGTCTTGTTTGTAAAAGTACTAACAATTTTAAGAAACATAGACAAATAAAAAACAGTGAACAAAAAACTGTATATCTAGATTTACATTTATAAGTGTAAATAAATCAATAGCTTAAGATTGTTTCCCGACCCGAAAAACAGATAGCCTAGTTTTAAATATATTTTCAACAATAAGCTTTTTATGTCAGAAGTACTACCAGTTTTAAACACCGGAATGATCTTAATATGGTTCATAAGGTCAGGAAATTCGCATCATTAAATACAAATATTAAAAATAGATGCTAAGTAAGCTGAGTAGTAACATCAACAACAGAATTGATAGAAATTAAATTATCAGAGCACCACTTAAGGTCCCAGTCATCGATTTGTGTCATGTAATCTAGATGACATAGACATCTTATAGTCATCATTAGTTCATGTGCTTGTTTGTCATAATTGATACGTTGCTTTCTACATAAATTATTAAAAGCACGGAAAACATATGAGAATGAAACAAATAAACAACATCTTCCAATTATCATCATAAAGGATATTTGAAGATTGTCGGAACAAGGAATTGGTGCACTGAGACTCTCAAGACATGTAGCTATTGATTTTAACATATAACAGCCTAATTTCTTTCTGAATTTCAAATATTATGCATATCAACTTTAAAGAGGAGCGTGGATGCATTTTTCTTAGACATTACCATTCTACGAGTATATGCAAAATTGTTTCTTCGGTAATGGGATGAATTTGTAAAATGTTTTTACTTTTTAAAAAACTTAACATGTTTCTCAACGCAGCTACTTACTTTACATTGCATTACGAAATAGATACGAATACCTATTTTGTGGATGCGGCTGTTCAAAATTTCTAACTCTAAACGAATTCTAAATTCATTCCTCTGTAATCCAAATAGTTCTACCCATAAAATGGTTTAGTTGCAAACAACAATTTTGTAAACATTGAGCTACAAAAGTTAGTTGGCGTGTCATAATAACAGAGTTGTCCAGGAATCTGAAGCCGAATAACCATTAAGGGACGTTTCGAATTATCAAAGTGACGTAAAATAAAGCTTTATAGTTCAAACTTTGCTTTTAAGGATTCTGGGGCTCGCCATTATATAGAGTTGATGAATTAAAATAGGTGTAAAATGACTTAACCTTAGCCAGTTAGTTTAGTTTGTTGTATATAATGGAGGACTCTTTTAGCCCACTCTGGATGCTTACTGAAGACGGGTTGAGAGAGGTACACGAGGTACCACTCTCCCTGTCCTTTCAGGCGCGGGAAACAGTAGTGTTGGTATCGCGATGTATCGCCCTACCTATTCTCGGATGCTGAAGTGTAATGAGAGGTAGAGCCACAGACCAGTTCCACTGGGAGACTTGCAACTGGCTCTCCTCCGATTGACTCTAGGCAGTGAAGTCAGGCGTGTCCTTTTCCTGTATAAAAGAGGCCAAATAAGAAGCTGCAATTAGTATGTTCCTTCCTATTTGTCAATTCTTTTACTTGGCAGAGAGGGAAGTTTAAGTAAAATACTCGCCGAGGAGGCTTCAAAAGAAAGAGATAATCTGTTCGCGTTTTAAGTGAATTTTTGAAGTTATTTTTATCTATTGGTTATAAATGTATAAAAATTGTTAATATTTACACGCAGGCAAAAAAACAATAGATAGCTTCAGACAGGGGAAGCTATAAAAGCATCGACTTCGTTTTACGTAAAGTTTCGCTTTCGATATTACTACAAATAAACGCATATTTAATATAGCAATGTTTTAAAGCGCAACATGGTATTATAAATTATCTATTCATATCGTTAAAAGATGTAAAAGTGCGGTAATTACGAAGCTATTAGTTTTTATATTGTTATCTTCTATCAAGCAATATAGGAACTTCAATTAACCAAGCAAAGCTTTGTTATTGTAGCGATCCAATTAACTTTGTTATGTTCATTGGAGCATATTGCGTTTCAAGCTATATCAAATCACATATTTTACGTTATAAAAAAAAAATTTAGAGTAAATATTACTTGATGTTTCAAAAAATTAAATAATCAGTAATAATAGGTAATTGGTACCTACTTTTACATGTTGTAGCATGTTTTTGTTTTTATTTTTCCATATATTAAAAATATGTAGTGATAGTAATAGCAAATAGCCAATAGCAAAAAAACCTGGTCAAAACCGCTTACAACATAATGTACCCGTTTTACCCTTTGGGTACGTAATCCTAAAAAGCAATACAAAAATGATTTAAACACTTACCGAATAAGTTCATCGCCGTTATAAACAAAGAATACTAAATTAAAGTGAATGTTAATTATTAAATTAAGCAAGGCCAAGCAAATAACTTAATAAATTCGATACATATTACCCACAAGTTATAAGTACGATTTTTATTCAATGTCTGGCTTTTTCGTTTATTTTTTAATAACAATATTGATCCCAAATATTATTATGTTAAACATAAAATTGGAAAAACAATTTGCTGATTACTTCTTAGCAATGACTTAAAAATAACTGTGGTAAGGCCACGCAACAGTCTTCTCTGTTGCAAAAAGCAGGTCCGTCCGAGAAAGTACAACGACTTCACAGAAGACCGGCGTGAAGTGGATTATACCTCTGGGTTTCGTCTGGTGAGTAAGGTAGCCGGAGCCCACTGTTTTGCATTACTCGTATTATCTGGCAACGCATCAGCAACCCTACGGGTGTTCCAAATCTAAAATCAATGGACCGCTGTTATCACATCAAGTAAACATCAAGTGAACCGCCAGCCCGCTTTCCACCTTCTCACATAAAAAAAATGCTTTCAAGATATTGTTAAGGCTTTTTGCCTCATGTGTTACAACAACATTGATCACATTATCCATTCAGCCACTATGGGTAATTTTTTGTTTCAGAGAGCACAAGGGATCTGTGACAGAACAACTGACTGTCAAGATTTAAAACGTCAAACAATTGCATGACAACAATCTTCGTAAAGGCGTTAATAACAATTTTTCTTTCATTCAACGTCCATTTAATTTTCCTCCGGCTTTATTTTCGTCAGTTTGTAAATAATGATTGATTTGATAATTGTGTCACACTCGTATAACCATGACTAAAACTGTTAAGAACTTATCATCTGCCATGTGGTTAGAAATGGTCTATAAATGTTTATAAAACTCAACATTGAGTATCACAATCGTAGAATAAACGGTTATGACGGGGAATTTCATATTCAATGACACTATCGTGTTATCGATTCCCATAAAGTAGGAAGGATATTAAATATGATGGTAGCGATATAAAATCGTATTAGAATATTTTAAATGTTTTATGAAAGTATAAATTTAAACCTTTATGTTAGTGAAATTCTTTGGTATCTTTATAACTGTGTTAAGGTAATATATCTATTTTAGAGCTATGGGTAATTGCTATTACACGAAACTTAAAGTATGCCCAGACGTTTTACTACAATAATTTGTGGTACTATGGAGTTCCGTAAAGGCCTTCGGCTTCGTAGTGAAAGAACTACGGCTTTTAGGTAATTAAAAAAATCAGCTAATTAATTTACATAACTATGAAACTTTTCGTATGCAAATACATCAAATTATAATTCAAGTTTTAGTTTAACTTAACCAAGAGATATCTTGTTAATTGCTCGCCTTAGCATTGCATTGCGTTCAATTTTAAATGACGCAAAATTGATGAAGGCATTATTGGAAACAAAAAAGTAGCCTAGCGTACAGTGGATAACTTAGAAGACAATTAACGAGAAACGTGTACTATATTAAAAAAAAAACTATTTAGCTGGAAAACAGCAAGTCATGGCCGTGCGAAAGATAGGTCGTATGTAATCAAAGAAAAAACGTATGGGTCGTATTTATTCATTGAATGGGCAGAGCACCAACTCATGCCCATGAAAAAGTTCATCCATAATGTTAATATCGATTTTAAATTTTTATAATTTTTTTCTTTCTTTTAGGAAAATGTATTAACAAAGGCTGTATTAACAATACCTGTAGATATAATACAGAAATGATTATATTGGAAAATTTTATGGAAACAGAAGCGAGTTAAAACCAGATACTTAGGGGGAAAATAAAACCATAAGAAAACCACAATACGATATATATTTTTTTAAATAAATACTAACTGGGTACAGCAGTTTCACCTGCGCGTCTCGTTTTTTATCTCTAAATGTAACTGTTATGTATGTAGGTAGATGTGAAAACATTACCGATTTACAATGTTGCGAGAGTTCAATAAACCAGTCTGTTCTGAATCTCTGAGTATCATTGTCCCGTACATTACACTGGCGACAGGGATTACAAAATATTAACGAAAATTAGTTTTTGTTAGTTTAATCTAAACTTACGCGTGTGTATTTGGTTATTTACAATGCCGTTTGGTAAAATCGAATGTTTTGACATTAGTGGTCAAAATTGGGACGCTTATATTCGTCGTGTAAAACAATTCATGACATTGAACGGTATCAAGGACGAGTTACACGTAGCAACGCTTGTGACGTTAGTTGGCGCAGAGTGTTACGAGTTGATGTGCGATTTGTGTTCACCAACCCAGCCCGAGGAAAAACATTCGATGAACTGGTTCGACTATTTAAAGAGCATTTGGAGCCCGAGAGATCGGGGATAGCAGAAAGGCACCTCTTCAGGCAAAGAAAGCAACAACAAGGAGAAAGCGTTCGTGCATATTTACAAAGTTTGAAGCATCTCGCTAAAAGCTGTAATTTTAAAGAGACCCTTGAGATGAACATTCGTGATCAGTTCGTATTGGGGTTATACAGCGAAGAAATGCGTTCGCGGCTGTTTGCGGAGAGAAACATAGACTACGCGCAAGCTGTGGAGCTATCATTGGCGCTGGAGGCGGCGGAGCGGCATGCGGGGGCGGCGTGCGCGACCGCGCTCAGCTCGAGCGGCTCCGGCGGCGCGGGCGCGCGGCTGGCTGACGACGGCTTGCATCGAGTGAGCGCCGCGCGGACGAGGCGCGGCGGCGGCGGCGGCGGCGGCGGAGCGGGCGTGGCGGAGCGGGCGCGGCGGGCGCTGGCCCATCGGTGCGCAACACGTGTCGGCGGTGTGGTAAGGGGCAACATGTGATTCTTGCGGAGAAAAGGGACACCTCAAAGTTATGTGCGGTCAGTTTGTGACGGATGGTAGCGCTCCGAAGAAAAATTACAAGTCTAAAGGTCAGTTTTTCATGAACAATAACTCTGATAATGATTCAGATGATAGTAATTTTTATAAAATTGTTGTTAACGATGGTGATAGTCCATATTACGCTAACATTCAGCTGTATCTAAATCGTTTTATAATAAGAATTTTGTAAATATTCCAATAGTAAATAAAAAATTAATGTTAAAATCATACACGGGGGACGTTATCGAGACACTTGGCTATATTAATGTTAATGTTATGTTTGAAAAAAAATTCGCTAACTTAAAATTATACGAATTGAAAATGGTGGTCCACCATTAATGGGAAGAATATGGATCCGAGAGTTAAAACTACCTATTACCGATTGTCATAATTGATTACCGATTGGCACATTCAAGTCGCGCATACGTATGTTTTTAAAGGACGTCGCCCGGTATTCGTAAAGGCGCGGCCCCTACCGCTGGCACCGTGCTCGGGTAGAGGACGAGCTCGGTCTGCAGCGGGAGGGTGTTATATACAAAGTTGATAGATCTGATTACGGAACGCCGATTGTACCCATTATTAAAGCTAAAGGGGGAATTCGCATATGCGGTGACTACAAGGTCACTATTAATTAATCCACGTTTAAAAATACTTTCATTATCCGCTGCCACGGATTGAGGAACTGTTTGCCGTACTGGGCGGTGGCGAACAGTTCACGAAGCTAGATCTCTCCAACGCTTTCTAACAGTGTGTTTTAGAGGAAGACTCTCAGCCGATGACGGTGATAACCACTCACGTCGGCACTTTTATTTATAGACGCGTCCCATTTGGAATAAAATGTATTCCAGAGAATTTTCAAAAATAATGGATTACCGTTTACGGCGGTCTTCGCAGATGACGTATGTGTCACAGGCAAAAATAGAAAAGAACATATTAGTAACTTGAAAGCTTTATTACAAAGATTTAAAGATAATGGTCTGCGAATTAATTACACGAAATGTAAATTCTTTAAGGATAGTGTAACATACCTAGGTTATAAAATAGATAAGAATGGTTTACACACAGATATGAAAAAGATTGAGGCTATTGTAGGCCTCCCAAACCGACCAATGTCACACAGTTAAAAAGTTTTATGGGACTTGTTAATTTCTATGGGAGATTTTGTGTTAATATGAGTGACATTCTGAAACCTTTATATAATTTATTAAAGAAAAATGTTAAATGGCGTTGGGATGATAAGTGTGAGTTTGCATTTAATAGAATTAAAAAGGTGCTATGCAGTGCTCCCGTCCTAGCGCACTACGACCCGGGTCTCCCGCTGATCTTATCGGTGGACAGCAGCCCGTACGTGCACGCGGACGGCGAGCGCATCGTGTGCTGCGCGTCGCGCACGCTCTCACCCACTGAAACCAACTACTCCCAAATTGACAAGGAGGCGCTCGCCATTGTGTTTGGTGTCACTCGTCACCATCACTACTTATACGGTAGAAAGTTTGTGCTACGCACTGACCATCGTGCGCTCAGTTATATTTTTGGTAAGAATAAAGGCATACCAGTCACCGCCGCGAGTAGATTGCAACGTTATGCCGTTAAGTTAGCTGCATACGACTTTGATATACAGTATATAAGCTCATCCAAGAATTGCCAAGCTGATGCTCTATCACGCCTTCCACTGAGCTCGACGATTCGAGCTGGGGGTGAGGGCGAGGACTGCAGCTATTTGAATTTGTTACAAGAGAATTTTCCACTCAATTTTAAAGATATTAAAAAGGAAGTGATGAAAGACTCGTTACTTAGTAAGATGTATGGATACATAATGTTTGGTTGGCCCGAAAAGGTCGATTCACAATCCGCAAAACCCTACTTTAATAGAAGAGATAACTTACATATCATTCAAGGTTGCATAATTTGGGATTACCGAATATTAATACCGGATTCATTAAAGAAATGGTACTGCGAGAATTACACGACGGACATCCTGGCATCGTAAAGATGAAGCAGATCGCCCGCAACTACGTGTGATGGGGGTCTATAGACGGAGACATCGAGCGCACTTGCAGAGTGCGCGGCTTGCCGCACACAACGAGCAATGCCGCCGACGGCGCCGCTGCACTCATGGCTTTGGCCGGTCGAACCATGGTCTAGACTCAACATGGATTTTCTCGGCCCATTCAGAAACAAGTATTATTTAGTTATCGTAGACGCTCACTCTAAATGGATTGAGGTCGAACGAGTAAGCAGTATTTCAACTTCAGTCGTCATTACACAGTTAAGAAAAATTTTTGCTAGATTTGGATTACCGAAGCATATCGTGAGCGATAACGGTCCACCGTTCTCTTCTGCGGAATTTGAATGTTATTTAAAACCCAATGGCATAAAGCATACGCTCGTGGCTCCGTACCATCCGGCGAGCAACGGTGTGGCGGAGAACGCAGTGCGATCAATTAAACAAGCTCTTAAAAAAGCCGAAATAGAAAATGTTGACGATAATATGGCGCTGTGTAAATTTTTATTTACATATCGTAATACGGAGCACTGCACGACGGGCCGCGAACCCGTCGTGGCGCTGTTGGGGCGTCGGCTGCGCGGGCGCCTCGACCTGCTACGGCCCGACGTCGGAGAGCGCGTACACAGCGCGCAGCAAGCGGCGGAGGCGCGTGCCAAAGACACGCCTCTGCGCGTACAGCAACCCGGTGACCCAGTACTTGTTCGGGATTATTCCAAATTAGGAAATAAGTGGGCTGAGGCAGTAGTGTTAGAGAGACTCGGCCCCGTGTCGTATACTGTCAAAACTGTCGATGGACGTATACAAAAGCGACATGTTGATCAAATTCTAGGTGATAGTCGGCGTAGCAAGGCACGCTTTTCTTTAGCACAAATACATAAAGAACCCGACAGTGGAAAAGAATCGTGTAACCTATCCGACACCGCTTCGGACTGCGTTAGAAATATAAACACACCGTTAATTAATAACAAGGCAGTGTCACAGCGAGATTGTGGTGAGGAGGAAGTGAAAGAGAGTCAGGAGAATACGGAACCCGAAGTTCCTATTATTAGATGAATTAAAAAATATATATAAGTAGTAAATAATTAATACAGAACCTCAAATTAACACTTATCACGCCAACGAGTTTGTGTTCCCTGCCCAATGTAAACCTTTATATAAATCTTAATTTTAGTACATTAACCTAGGCTTCTGTAGTGATTTTCTCAATATGCATAATACTCTGTTTAAGTATTTAAATACATTATAGTCCTACTTGTTTACAGAAAATATGTATCTGCAAATTTATATCATATGATGTTACTTTCTTATATTTTAAGGGGGAGACAGTGTTATGTATGTAGGTAGATGTGAAAACATTACCGATTTACAATGTTGCGAGAGTTTAATAAACCAGTCTGTTCTGAATCTCTGAGTATCATTGTCCCGTACATTACAGTAACCAGTTGATTTTTGTTAGATGCACATTAAAGTTTTTTTCGTTTCTAATGTGAACAATTTATGATTTAAAATTTACGGTGGTAGGGCCACGCAGCAGCCTCGGCTGTTGCACGAATGGGCAGGCCCGTCCGGGTAATACCACGACCTCACAGAAGACCAGCGTAAAGTGACAGTATGACAAATACTTTCGCGTTTCGTCTGGTGAGTGAGGTAGCCGGAGCCCAATTTTCAAAAGGTTGTCAACGCATCTGTAACCCTCGGGTGTGGCAGATGTCCATAAACCGTCTGCTCGTTTGACAACTTTTCGCATAAAAAAAAATAAAAAAAAAATTTAATAAATTTTCCCATTAAAATAAACCGAAAAACTTGCTTTTACACTGTTCACTACTTCACCTATGAATATGACTTGATTGTGAAATACTTGACTTAAATTACGACTTCTTTAAAATATTATCTCGAACGTGCTATTTTACTGCCTTCTTGAATTTCCTGCTTAATACCGACCTTTAACAAATATGTGCGTAGCTTTTCTCAATAGAATTAACTAATCAAAAGACATAAGTTGATTGTGTAAGAACCCATATCGGTTTGCGAAAAAATATATGTTTTAATTCTTTATTGTTTAACCTCAATATTCATATCGCATCCTCATATTTAGTCTTATCATTCACTCATTAATTTCAATATATCTTCGTATCTTATAAGTTTCATTTGAATGTAACCTGGTTGTGCTGAAGACTAATCTAGTGATATATTGTGGTATCAAATAAATTCTTAAATAAAGCTAATTTTACTATTATTACATTTGACTACATAAAATAACCACCAGGTATTAATTGGATAAGTCTCAAATCGGGTTTTCTACCTTTTGTTAATAGACACTCTCCTCAAACCTCTACAAATAAGGAATTTTCTAAAATAAAGAAAAAAGCTTTTATATGAATGGAATAATATCCTCTGGACTCAAAACGCGTAAATTATGTTACTAAGGTAATTTTAAGGTAAGCATATTTTAATTAATGTAAAAGCTTAGGTACCTTGAATTTTCGGGTATCGGCAAAGTTGAATTAACCATTCTAAATGTAAGTGAATAGTTGTTTTGTTTTTAACGTTAACCCCTTATCCGATGTTTTCCTTTGAGAGCCGACCGCATGGCCATTGTACGTCCCTTGACACGATCCCTACTTCTTTTTTTGGTACATAAACAATGTAGAAAGTTTAGATTTCAATTTGTACTAAGGTAGTTTTAACGTTATACATAATTGCTGTGCAAAGGTTTAAAGAACTTCTCACTTAGATATCCTTAACAAATGTTATACGTGGATTTCTTAGAAAGTTTTGCGAAACAAAAAAAAATAATTTATGCGAATAAAATATTTTCATTGATTCCTTTCAAAGAACTTTCCACCAGCCTATATAAAGTTTCATGCGTCTGAACCAATTTTCGAAGCTTTTTCCAGTCCGCCGCAGACACCTCTTCTACGGCCTCCTCAAAAGCCGTTAGCACATCTTC